GTGCGGGGTGTAAGGTCAGATGAAATATTGTAAATTGATTGTTTCACGGGTTCAAATTGTTAATTATGTGTACCTTTATTATATGCACATAATGATATTATATATTATTCATTATTTTATATTAGATACATGAAATGTGGCCTTTAAACTGCACAGTTAAAAGTTATTAATTCATTAATTAAGGATGAAGGGATGAAAGGATGAAATGATGAAAGGATAAAAGGATGAAAAGATGGATGAAAGGATGAATAGGTGAATAGATGAAAGGATGAAAGGATGAAATGATAAAAGAATAAAAGAATGAAAGGATAAAATAAACTAACCTTGAAGTAAAGGGAGTCTGATTAGAAGACATAACCATGTTTCTCCTTGTTCAATGCACTCCCTCACACCACACCCTTCTAGCCCACCCAGCTCTACACTGTACACGCCCCCTACACCCGTCTCCAGGATAGAGCACTGGGCGGAGGGGCGGGACACGCCTTCCAGAACAGGCGGGGCAGTGTGACCAGGAGGTAGGCGGAGCTGAGAGCTAAACTCTTGTTTACTAGGCGTATCCATGCAGTGAATATCTAAACAAAACAAAGAAATTTATTTTTAAATCTTTAAATTTGTGAGGTTATTCTTTTTCTTCAAAGTTCATAATGTCGTCTTTGAACCATATTTTACTGATATCTCTAATATATATCTCTAAAAATAATAAGGGCAATTTTATAAAAAGTTGTTCAGTTGCAAATTACACAATCCTTTCAGTTGAATAATAAAATAAGACGAATTCCATTGCTTTCTGGTTCTCACTGTATAATTTATCCACTTTCGATGTAAGGAGAAAATTGCTAAATCGTCATTTTTAATGAAGATTAAGACACTGCTAGTAATTTCAATTAATTGAAATAAAAATCCTTGATAGACGTTTACCGTAAAAAATCTTTTCCCTCCCCGAATTTACATATCAACCTTTATCCCCCCCCCTTCAATCCTACCCTCGTTTTAAAGATTTATTCGTAGCATTGTTTTAAAAATGAGTTCATGAATAATGATTAATATGTAATTGGGGACCCTTCACGGTTGTCCAAAAGTCGATGAGAAATAATGTAACTATGAAAAACATGGCAATTCCTGAATTGTCTGCGACCCCAAAAACTAAAGTTATGAAAGTATTTCGAAAGTGTAAATGAAAATGTGATAATCTAATACTTTCATTCGCTGGTTTACAGAGCTGGAAAAACAAAAGAAATTTAAATCATCTTTAAAAGAAACTCATTCCCAAGCATAACAATCAAATGAAACAAAAAATCAAAAATGTCGTCTTTATTTGTTCCTTTATTCTCACTAAAAGATCTGAAGAATAGCTATTTGTTTGTTAACAATAAAGACGACATCTATAACAGCTGTATGTCATGGGCAAACGGATTTCCACTTGCCCTTGGGGAGGACATCCGCAAATCAATTTTGTGACGACAATTGAGGCTCGGAAGCCACTAAAGCGTGGTTGTTTCTCCTAATTGGAACATATTTTACCCCAGCATCCATTCCTTCCCCTCACCTTCTTATTTTCAGATTTCTTCGGAATCTTTG